TATGAAGCACAAGTCCATTTTCGTTGTGAAAAAGAAAAGAATAAAAAAAAAAAAAAAAAAATTTTTTAAAAAAAAAAAAAAAAAAAAAAAAAAATATTAATTTTTCCGCGTAAATTAATTATATATATATTACATAGAAATATGATTCGGATTCTTTTTATTGCAGATTTTTATTATATATATTAATAATTAAAAAATATAGATGCTCTTGAATTGCAATAATAATCGTAGGAAAATTATTTGAATTAATATTAACAATTGCACTAAGTTTTTGTTGTCTTTTCCACACAACTATCGTTAAAACTTACGGAGGGAGGGGATCACGAAAGTATCTTCATGCGAGTTTTTGGGCAAATTGTATTGATTTTCTGTGTGAGAAATCGTTCCAATAAGAACAAAAATCAACGGACGCGATACAAGAGAGACTCTCGAACACTTTTTATATCTTTTTGTCGCGTTGATTTTGTTACTTGTTGTTACAGTTTACATCGTACTCGTCGCATTTATCTCTGACGTAAGTTCAGTATCATATGGAATGTTTGTTCGATTTTTCCAACACCGATCGATTACTCCAATACCGATTGGAATAATTCAATCGCGCATGTAAAGAACCAAGCGAGGATATGAAAATTTTCATTAACGGATCTCCTTCAGTTTTATTTATTTTTCAAGGTTGATTAACCTTATGCTTCTTATTCAGTAAAATTGGCAAAATATTTAGAGTATAAGAAACAACAACAACGTGTGCGGGCGCTATTTGTGTGTTACATTACTTATGTACTTCCGTTTACGTATTTGCGAATTGCAAACGTGAAACGAAACGAGTCTATCGATATGCTGAATCATCGGTGGTTTAAAAAGGCGAGTTGTATTTTTTTTTCTCATACAAACACAGATCTCACAGATCTTAGCAGCGCGTATCTTGTGTAATGATCACTTTTGTATCTCGGGTTTGTTTCTTTGGAAAAAAAAAAAAAAAGAAAAAAAAACGATGATTAGTTTGCGTAATTATCTTTTCAGCGTCACGTGATGGCTAAAAGTTAGAATTCTCGTTACACGCGCGGGAACTCTCTTAAATTAGATAAACTCTTTGGAACAGAACCGAAGATCTAAATGCAAGAAGCCACGCACTAAAACTTAAAAACGCATGTACTCGGGAGATACGTTCGCTCTTGTCTACTTACAAAAATTGTCTTTTTTTTCTCAACAATGTAAGATCCACATATGTCATTATGCAATAATGACAATCGAATTGCAACTGTTAACAAATAAAGCTAAGAAAAGAGAAAGCTTTTCGGTGTTCGCGAAATATTTCCTTCAACAAAAGCTTTTTGAAAAAAATAAAATAAAATACACATTTTCGCAACACAGAGTATACGAAATGAACGAGTAAAGAAACCGTTCTCACAAAGACGACGACCAGCGACAAAGAGTTGTGAGTCCCTCACCCTCCATTATTGTTTTCCGGGCGAGCTCTGTTTACGAGAGCCGGGAGGGAGGGAAACCGTTCGCCTCTCTCTCTCTCTCTCCTGTTTTTTCTTATATACCGTTCAAACTACTATTCCCGATTGCACATTTTACAGACTGCGCGTCGAAATTGCCTACAGAAAGCTTTTTTTTTCTTTTTTTACGACCAGCCAACCTCGGCGTGTACGGTGGCACGTCCCAGGCGCGAATAACCCGCACGCGTGTGACGCGCCCGCGCGTATTGTTTTTTTTATATATATATAATATGTATATATATATATATATATGTATATATATATATATATATGTATATATGCGGGTGCGCGTTCTTTGTTTTCAGTGGTCCACTGCGAGCTTTCCGCAAGAGTGGCGACACACGAAAAAGCTCAGTTGTACGGCCATGAGTGCCTGATAGACGTGACCACGTTCGAGGTAGGCGGGTCTTCCGTGCGTCACTTCTTCATGTCGTTCATCAACGTGCCGTCCTTGCTCTTACTCGTGTCGAGATTCGACTGTTGACTGCTGGTCACGCCGCTACCGTTCCCGGGATACATCTTCTCGAGATGATTCAAAGACTCGCTTAGGAACTTCTGTAACACGAAATCGTGGAGAACTCGTTTTCAACGCGTTTTTTCACGGTTACTTTGAACAGAGATTATGAAACTGCGGAAAGGGATTATGAACCGAGAGATAACTTTTGGTAAAATAGTAAAAATTGTTTAGTAAAATTTTACTTTCCTCCTATTTATAGATTAGGTAAAAGAAATAATAAACTTAATAATTGTTTTTAAAAGAAATGATTAGTAAATGTGTCAATTTTTAATCATAACAATTCTCAATGTTTTAGGTTTTTTTTTTAAATTTGACATTTTTAATTATTTTCCAACTTTACCAAGTATATAAATATTGTTATATAATTATGTCTTTATTAAATCCGATCGGTGGTACTCGTCGGAGTGAGGAACGTTTATACTTTGCAACATGAGAAGGTTGAGGGTTCTCTCCCGCGGAAAGCACAAGTGACGTTTTTATCGCGCGTTTTTACCTGTATAGCTGTTAGAGCAGCTACGATCGCAGGACTTCCGAATCCGTGTGATATGAGAGAGAAGTGGGTGAGATGTCTCTGTATGCTGGGATCGAGGATGTGCTGCGGCCGCGTGTTGCAAAGCGGCGATCTGTCCTGGTTCAGAAGATCCATCAGCTCTTTGGTGATTTGTCTGCGAACGCAAGAAACATTTTCAAAATTTCGATCAGGTCGGATTTTCGCATTCTCACGCCGTGATAAAAGCCCCGCCACCGGAAGGAGGGAAAGACGCATGCGTTCAAAAAGAAAAAAAAAGTATCGGTAATATATCATTCTCCTACTTGGTGGCATGAAGAAGTTCCTTTCTCCTGTAGGAATCCTGCGGCTCGCAATGCTGCCGGCTAAGATATTCGGCGACTTGTTTCGCGGGGAATTCGGTTTCGCAAACGTAGCCGAAGTCTCGGGCAAGGTGAATGGCTTCTCCTGAAAAAGACGAAAAGACAGTCAGCCTCGTGATCACGCGCGCGCGCGCACTTCTCGGCCATTATGTAAACTTGCGAATATATGCATAACGGTCGATGAAAAACACAATCACACCTGAGAATTTTATTATATACGCCAAGGGTTCCGGCGCGCGGTTGTATTTTGAATAATTTACGGGACGAGATGGTGTTTATTTATGTATTCGAATGTAATATTCGAAGCGATTTGCTAAACGCGCTGCGCGGCACTTAATTTAGATGCGAGAAATAATGAGATCGCGCGCGTACCGTCGCAGGTATGACTGACAGGGCCTTCTAATTTCTCAACGTAATGGCCGTGCGACAGCAAGATTTGCGCGCGCGCGCGCGGACCTTGCACACACGGCCTCGGGCGTTGAATTGCCTCAGAATTTATATTCGGAATATTTTCTTTTTTTTCTCGCGCGTCTAATATATGCCACATTCTTTTTTTTTTGTTCAGTAGTAGATCGAAAATACATCATCGACCTCGTAAAATTTAATCGTCGCGTAAAACTCAGCGCATGTGAAAAATATTGCATGCCGCGCTTTTTTTTTTGCACTCCCCCTCGGCTGTGTGTCGCTATTAATCATTGTGCAAACAATTTGACTTAATTGCGCGAGGTTGACTTTTTCAGAGCAGCGTTTGTAGTTCGAAAAATCTCGAGATTGTACGTACATATTCGCGTACATGATTTAAGTTAATTACATTCGAAGATCTTGTAACACTTCTTCGAGAAAGAGAGAAAACTTTCCGTTTCTCCCACGAAAACAAAAAAACAAAAAAAAATTAAAATACTACATCGTCCCTTTCTGCGTAATTGCGCTATTACGAATTACCGGTGAACTACTGTTACACACAACACGCCCGTAATTCCAAGTGTACACATTTGCCGTGCATCGTAGATCTGTTTTATGTAACATAAATTATAGTTCGGTACGTAGTCGCGGGCATCGTTACCGCAATAAACGCGGCATTGATCCCACGTGTTTATGTCGTACCTGTCGTAATACTTTGTAATAAAAACGTTTTTATTGCTGTCGCGACCAAACGGAAAGAACAGAAAAAAAAATAACGAGGGGGAACATTAAGTGAAACGGGAAACTCCCATAATAACTTGCGCACGCGCAAGTATAGTTTCTGAACGGCCGCGATGTTTTTATGTTGTTTAAACGTTGCACAATGTTGCCTTGTGGTAGATCTCGCGCGCCGATTTTACGTAATCTCATTATTCTCCCGTTTCAATAAAGAAGAGACTTTAAAAGCAAAGAGGCAACAGTTTTTTGTCGATTAAAAAAATGCGGTTGCCACTCGAACTGATAAAGGGAAACAATTTCCTGGGTTGGAAAGGTCTCTTTACATAACGCGTATCTCCCACGAAACGTCGAATAAGTAGTTTCGCGCGATATTTTATTAACGCAGATATCGCACCGTAACGTAATTTCCCGCCGCGAAAGATTCTTGTAGTACAAGAACGGACGCGCGCGCGCGCGTTACAGTCGACGGTACACAAGTTTAACTATCGGCGATCTTATCTCGCGAACCGGCCCGTTGGACGCGCGGTGCGCAAATTTCCACCCCTTTCCACCAGGTGCAACAGGTCGTTTCGGCTGCAATTTAGTCTTCTGTGCAACCAACTTCCTACCGCGCGCGAATTTGCATATCCTTCGCGCGCTTTCCGCGTGCACGTTTCTTCATTTTTCTCCACTCCCGTTTAATTTTCTTTAAAAAACGTTTACGATCGCGCGCGTTTGTATTATCCTCCCGTGAGAAATTCTACTGCCGCTTTTTTATTCCGTTTAAAGGAGGGAGAGGGATTTAACTACACAAAGTGTCGGAGATTTCGCGCAAAGATTTTCCATTTTTCCGCGCAACACGAAGCGTTTCGTGAAAAATGTCAATGGATTTGCAATGCGCCGCGCGCGCATTGAGAGTAACGAGGGTACGACTCAATAAAACGCGAAGGGAGGTTCTTCTCTCGGCGCAGATGCACGCCGCGAGATTGCCGCTAAGGGAGCTCGGCAGATAGAAGATTCCGATTAGCGCGCGCGAGTAAATGAGAACGAATGGGCAACATGACTCGTACGAATTGATGAACGTTATACCTAAGGCGCTTGACGACTTCACCGTCGCGCGCGAATCAGCGGCGGCAATCGATCAAAAAGAGCTTGTGCGCAAACCGATACGCGAGAATATCGACCGCGCGAAAACGCGCTTAATTGCGTGTCTGAATAATTTTCCTTTTTTTTTTTTTTTACCGAAGAACACGCGTTGACATCGGCGATGTACCTGCGCGCGGGATGTTCGGAAAGAGGTGAAATCGAACTTCGCAGGATTTCTATTCAAATATTAATTACTGTGTCAGAAAAAAATATCCCGTTGAGAAACAAATATTTAACGTGTCAAATATTTAACGTTCCGCTCTCTCGTATTTTTAAATATTGTTTTGCGCAAATCCCACCGGATGGGAATATCGTCGGGATTATCGTCGAAATAATGTTGGTAGAAATTTGCGTGCCGTTTGAAGAAAGAGAGAAAGAGAGAGATAGAATCGATAATAGAATAACCTTATTCGTTCCGAACACACTCTGTTACGACGATAGCCAATAATGTGATGCGCTCCACCATCTCGGCCGTGCCGACCGCAAATCACGTTCCATTATACGTTCTGATAATCGAACCCCGCGAGGTGGATTTCGGGAATTCTCTTCCGCGTGCCCGAGGTCGGTCGTGTTCTTCGGGGCATATACCTTGCGGTTTCATAAAACTTTAAACTTTACAACGAGTCGGCGGCCTGCGGTCGACGCGCGCGGCCGCGTGTAATGTGTCTAAAATACGCGTTCCTCGTATCCTCCGCGCGCGCGTTCTCCGATGCAACAATTACGGATTGCGCGCGGTTGCGCCATCCCCCTTTCCTCCTCTCGTCCCTGTTTTCTAATCCAATATTTCGCGGCGTATTATACGTTGCGAAACGCGAAAACGAAAAAAAAAAAAAATGGAAAAAACCCCGAAGGAGAGCAATAAAAATTTATACAGTCGCTTTTGTTCGTTCCACTTTCGTTGCGGTGAAGTACGCCGTCACTTTTTGCGAATATCCTTGTACGGCCTGTCCGGAATTTATGTAGAACAATCTCGTCATCTATAGCTTTTAAACCATTCGGTTTCTTTTTTTTTTTTTATCTTCGAGAGCGTGGGCGTGTCGCGAATCGGACGCTGATTTACGTATGAATCGCGATAATGTGTGCGCGCGCGCGTGTGTGTGTACGGATATATCCGTATGTTTCGCGCGTCATTTCCCACACTTTCGCCGCGTACTCCTCCTCGTTTTTGTCAACGTTTCTTCTTCTGTTCCAGATATTTCTCTTACGCAAAAGCTCTCGAAAGAGCTTTTCCAATTAGACGAAATCGGTGATTTTAATTTATACATACGTCAAGAACGAACATTTTGTTGTCTTGTTTTCTCTCTCACGTCAAAAACGCGCGTCATTCCGCGTTTTTTTTGTATATATCCGCAGACATACTTCGCGAACCCGCAATCGCGAGATATAACGTGTACGCGCGTACACATTATCTACGTCAAATTACACTCTTCTCGCGCTCTGAATTGACACTATCGCATTACGTCATTTAAAAAATCATCATCATCCGCGCTATCGCTCGTGTTTGCGCGAGAGGAATTGACGCAAGCGGAACAAAAAACGGAGACACATTCGAATATGTTAATTCATTTCGTAGTCCGCGTATTAATCTGCAATTTACGTTGTGCGATTTGCCGGTCAGAGATCAGTCGTTTTTTTTTTGTGTCTTTATCTCGAGCGATCGTCGCTCTCCGCGAGAAAAAGTACGGAAAAAACACTAAGATTTCAAGAGAAAATTTAAGAATGCCTCTCTTGCGTAATTTTTGTAATATACAACGTTGTTGATCGCTGTACCGCGCCGATTATCTGTTCACAGGATATCAGGAGACGGCACTAAACAACCACACTATATATGAGACAACTAGGTGTGTATTTTCACAAAATTCGAACAAATAAGTAGTTAAAAATACGGCGATTCAAATCGAAAGGAAGTGACCCAAAAATGGTCCACAGTTGGCAGTGGATTATCAAATAATTTTTTGATAATTATATAAAGACAATATTATATTAAATATTATATTATATTAAATATTATATTAAATTACATATACATTTATATATACATTTTAAATTATATATACAAATATTATATTAAATTATTATATACAATTATATTAAATTAACTTATTTGATAATCCACCGCCAACTGTGGACCATTGGTTCTTTGGGTCACTTCCTTTTAAAATTCAAACAGTTATTCTCGATACAAAATCTTGTTGCAATACCGCGCTACTCGTGTAAGAACAACTGAGCGATTTTCCATCAAAAGGAACTTACTCCGAAGTGCGCATGTACGACTTGATCGGCACGGCGACGAATAGTGCGAGGAGCCGGCGCGAGTTCGAAGCCTCGTACCGAATATTCTCGAAACTCACAAACAAGTGCACGTGAATGTATGTTGCACATGCTAGGAGGATGCCAACCAAACATCTTGCGCCAGAAACATCCTGAGCTGAAAAATTTAACTCGGATCTAGTTTAGATTTATTTTACACTTCTTACACATCATCCAAAGACAACTGATCCAGACATCGATCTATCTCTTTGGAAATTGCGTAACAACGGTCTAAATAAATCAACCACATCGTCGAGAATTTGCGCCGAAATCCGCGCGCAAGTGTATCGCGAAGCGACGCGCCGTCAATTACCTCATCCGCCGCCATTGAAACATCTTCTTGTCATTACGACGCGCGGCTCGGGGTATCAATTAAGAGAAAACCGGGTCGAGATTCGCCGCGAATCCGTATATTTACCGGAATGCGTTATAGCGATTTTCGATCGCTTAATAACAGTGATCGTGTACCTCGCCTCTCTCTCCCCCAACCCCATCTTTCCTCCCCGAGCGGACCGCTCGCACGATGCGTATGCAAATGGGAAAATGATATACATATTTAAAGAGTCCTTTGGTCCCTTGTGTTGTCGATTCAGCCGGAAAGACCGGGGCGGAGAGGAGAGAGAATTAACGAGAGTCCGCGTCACCGGCTAATAAGCGCGATAAATCAGCAATTTTCTTTCAACGTTTTTAACATGCCGTTTTTCATCCCCGAGACACGTTCACAATTGAAAAGGCGGGAATTAATATGAGAGAAGAGAAAACACGATTTGTCCTCGGGTCCGACTTGGCGCTCGTTTATTGAAAGTGACATTAATTCGCGGCGAGCAATAACAACATCGCGAGCGAGGGGGGGGCAGCGATATAATGTTCGACTTTAACGCTCGATGTTGCGAATCGACCAGGTCGCGCGCGTGCACCGCTTTGCGGAATATAACGCGCGCGGTGGTTTCTTCCACGTGCCGCGGCGTGTTCGGCGCGCAATAGGTGGTACGTAACCTGATGATGAAAACAATGAGAATTTATTATCATCCCGCGCGGGATGATCGCGACGCAACTCGAATTTCGTATCTGAAATTTTTCGTGTCTTAATCCGGGATTTTATGCGATTTATCGCCACCTTATCGGGACGGATTTGCCGCTCACGCGGAAAAGAAATTCACGACCGATGTTTTATGAAAGACTAACTCCGCGCGCCGGACCATAAATTATAATCAACGTCCGCGCCAACACTCTAACAAACTTCCAGTCGCGTCATTAGACGCGATCGTTGGCAGATACGTGTGCGTGTACGCGCACATTTGTTTGCGCGCTCGTTATTATTAAGCGTTCCTCGGAAGAATACATCAGGAGAGTCTCTTTCTCTCTCTCTCTCTCTATCTGATTAACCTCGACGAAACAAAAAACCTCGCGCTCATTGTCATAACACGGAAGAACAAAGATCGGTCGTTAAAGATCAAGGAGTTTGCGCGTTTTTTCTTCACGATCGTCCGACCAAGAGAGTCAATTCGAATTGGGTAAATCAGACGGGAAAAGTCCCTACACGCGGAAATAAGAGAAAATTGAAAATGTCTTCTATCTTTGCGGATGAGAGAGAAAGAGAGAGCGACATTAATTAGAAATAAAACTGAATGCGACCAATTAATAAAATATAGAGTGTAGACACTGTGTACGATATGCCAGTATATCGATATAAATTTTCCAATGACCGTTTATTAAAGAAATAATTAAAACAAAGTACTTTGGAAACTAGTTGCTCTTGAATCCTCACGAAATAAACTGAAACGTCTATGTCAATATAAAAATGACACGCGGTTCGAGACCATTTTCAGGAATTTTTACAACACGTCGCAAAAGCATCAAAAATATTAAAAATTAAAAATAGTTAATTAATAATTAAAAATATATATCTTCAAAAATATTTGAAGGTATTTTTTTCAGTGAAAATTATTGTATATTTAACATTTACATGTCCAACAATCAGTTTTTTGATAGCTGTCCGGTCGTTCGGCCGCATGTCTGGGACATTTATCTTAATTACGTTTACACACGCGCGCGCATTTTAATCTGCGATTTAATCGGTTTGACACGTTACATTTTGTGCGCGATAAATTAGTGTTTATATATATTTAGTTTTTTGTTTTTTTTTCACGATATTTTACGCTTGTCAGACGGGATATTTCATTTCTCACGAGACTCTCCGGACGTGTGTTGCGTGTGTCTAAACACAAAAATTCGCTCGTCGGACCCCGAATGATTCATTTCTCGGATGATCATCGGGGTCCCGTGTAAATTCGCCGTAATGCGCGCGCACACACGAGATGATTTCATCACCGTTGCCCTACGAGACAAGTGGGCGTCGTGGCGAAGAATGTAATTCTACCGAGTCACGACAAGAAGAAACGACCGAAGCTTTAAAGAGACGCGAGCGGAAAGAGTAATCTCTTTTGTAAATTACGACGGAAGAGGGAAGGAGAGGAAGGGCAATAATGTCGGCGAAGCGTTACGTTTGTTACAATATTTCTCTAACGCGCTCGCTTATTAAATTTTCGATATAGCGAAGAAACGCCCGATAAACTTTCGATACGCGAATCGATCTTTGTGCAACATCGCTGTAATAGGTATCCCGCGCGTTTATACGCGCGGTATTTACATCGCGAATAGTTTAAAGACATCAGAATCGCCCGGAGTCCTCGATGATTCAGTCTCTTCTTTTTTTTTCTTTATTGACAGTTTATAATCAGATGCTGAATGTGCGTTACAAACGATTGCAGAAACTGCGTCAATGTTACGCGGACTCTTCGCGAAACCGATATACGTCGTTAACTTTCCCATTTAATTACGGTCACGCTTCTCGGGGACCGGTTGCTAATGAGAAGAACGATTGATGCAGAGGTGTCATTAAACCGATGAAGAAAAAGAACGCGCGCCACTATATCGCCGCCGCTGGAATGAAGTTTCGCGTTTTATTTCAACAACGAGATGTGATGATTTCATCGCGCGCTTCATCTCTCATGAGAGACGAGCGTGCGGATGCGCTTTCGTTGCCGTTATATTGTTGTAATAACAGGGATTTTACGAGGATATGCGCGCTTCGCAAAAAGCTTTAATATCGGCTTTTCCCGGCGAATGCGGTGTTTGTTCATTCATTCGCGCGCGCTAAGAGCGTTCATTTTATTTATAAGCGAAGTGTTTTTTTCTCTACGAATCTCTTTGTTTTGTTTTTTTTTTTGCTTTTTTTTTTTAATCGAAGTTTCTCGAAGAAAACCACTCACCTTCCACCAGAGATGTCAAGAGCGTGACGTTGGCCGCCTTCCTTCTGCCGGCTGGCAGATTCAAGCCGATCTTTTCCAGCTTTTCCCTAAGCAGACGCCCGCCGTTTTTGGATTTTGCTCTGCAACAGGCGAATGAGAAACAACATTTTTCCAATGCTCCTTTTTTCGCTGCCGTTCGCTGCTTCTTCGACTCTCGATCGAATAAAAAAAAAAAGTCGATAGTCGATTCTCTCCCCGGGTGAGCACAACCCGTGCGATCTCGCGATCACGTCATCGAGAATTTAACCCGTAAGGTAAATAACACTCGAACCGCCGCGCGCGTCCAATTAATTATTTTTTCTACCGTTCGTGTGTAATATTTATTCAAACGCACGCCCACTCGCGAACGACGTGAGCGCGTGAGAAATTTCGAAACGGAACTTCTTCATTAATCATTTTACTGTGCGATCATGCGCCAGGAAAAAAAGATAGAATCGAAGAGAAAGAGAGAGAGAGAAAAAGAAAGACGACGAGAGAGAGGGGAGGAGGAGGAGAAGAAGGAAAATACAAGTGGATTAGCATAATCCGCGACTATGTGCATGTGTCATCGGCGATTGAGCAACTCTCTTTCTCTCTCTTTCTCTCTCTCTGTCGCGGCACGCGGACTACGAACGAGCGCGGAGCAACGTACGTTCGAGGATGCGTACCTGTTTCGTGCGCGTTTTGTAAAATGGGATCGAGGAGTCTGAAAGGAACACTATGTTCGCACTATAGTAGTCTATTCAAGGCGCAGATATGAAGATACGGATTTCTATCGATTTCTTTTCTCTTCTCCTCTTTCTGTCTATTTTTTTTACTCACATTCTAATTTAATTGTATTTGTTATCTATTATTATTCTTTTTTTTATTTACCTTCGTTGTAAAGTTTTGCGATTGAGAAAAGGTTTTCGCGTTATAAATAAAGCAACAATCAATCAATATCCTTCTCTCTCTCTCTCTCCCTCTTTCTACACTTGTTCTCTCTCTACACTGTTATTTTATATTGTTATTTTATTTTATTTTATTTTTTCTTTCTTTTTTTCTTTTCATATTATGTAGTTTTGTATTTATGCTTATCTCTCTTTCTTTTGTTTTGACACACTTACATTCATCTACGCACTATTGTAAATTTTTACTGCGCCTGAGGGAATATATCCCAGGGCGCTTAAATAAATGTATGCTTTCTCTCTTTCTCTCTCTCTCTTTGCGCGTATATTAAATTGAATAAAAATTTATTTAACAACAAACTTTTGGTATAGAGCAATAAATTAAAAGCAGTCGAAAATTGAAAATTAGTCGAACAATTTTCTTTTCTTTTGTTAATTGAATTATTAATAGAATTTAAGTTTATATCATTTAAGCACACGCACGTTATTTCTTCTTTTATTAAATGACGATTTTTCAATCAACATTAACGGTACGTAGCAACCCGTGCGCGACCGCGGATGTTTCTCTCTCTTTCTCTCGTTTTACGTTCGATTAAATGATTAGAATTAAGGATTATTCACTTCAGAAGCAGCTTCGTTAACGCCGTGGCGTCTCTTTGTCGGGGGGATATTGCGCGGAGAAAATTGCACGCGACGATTTCTACAATGAATTCTTTCAAGACGCGCATCGCGCGATTCTACACGGAGCCTTTCTTGCCGGCGAGATGTGTATCCTTCTGCGTTAACAAGTTTCAATCATTCTTACGTACGTCTCGCGTTTAAATCGCGCACGTTAGACACAATCCTACGTTCGTCTCGACCGACGAACGAAGTCTATCGACGGGACTTCATCACTCGCACATTGAAAAAAATTGTTTCAATCCGGCGAACAAAACTGCGAAGTAAATTTTTTTTTTTTATACGGGACAAAACAAATGGGTAACCGCCGCGCGGTAGTAGCCGGCAACTTCCTTCACAACACGCACACACACACACACCCTGTCCATCCATCATCCGAGCCTGTTATAACGGTTAATGCGTATCGCCTACCTTTGTTCGGCGCTGTCTGGTCTCTCCGCCCGGTAATCTCTCTCGCTTCGATCCGATAATTAAAGCGTTTTACCGCTACGGGAGTTTTTAATATGTACATATCGATATCATCCCCCTCCCCCTCTTTTCCCCGTGCTCTTAGTCCATTTTCCTCAAAACTGTGTATAACCCGCGCAACTCTCCCGCGCGTCTTGTTTATATTCTCCGTGATCGGAATTCGCTCGATAACTCGGGAGACCGTGAGAGATTTGCAAACTGGTTTCCAGCCACCGCGATCGTCACCGATTATATCAGGACGCAGGCGTATCGAGAGCCCGACATACAATTCGACCAAATTAAACTCTCTCTCACAACAGGAAACGACGCAGTTATTTCTCGCTCGCAGTTACTTAGCGGCAACGCCAATCAAAAACGATTGACAATTAAGATCGCAAATTTTTTTTTTTTTTTTTTGCGCGCGCGAACCAGATCGAGTTCTCGTAATTTTTATTACGTTAACGATCGCGCGCGCGTTGACGATCTCCGTTTCTCCGTGAAACGTGTACGTGACGAGAACGGCGCTGCACTCATTACGGAGTCTTGTTCCGAAGAAGGATCGTTCTCTTTTCCCTACCCCTTCGGACGCGTCTCTCTCCCGTCCACGTTGGGGGTTTCCGTTTCGAGATTCGCACCCTCCTCTCTCGGCCCGATAAGAATCTTCCCGGGAAGAGATTCTTCCTCGCTCCCCCTGATTGCTCGAGACACTCGTCTTCTCCGTATACTGGCGTCGTTAATCGCGCGACCGTGGATACGCCACGGGATATTAGCAAGTAGCGGGATCGCTTCGCGATCAGGATTCACTCAAATAATCTCCGCGTCGAATTTATTGTATTCTTCTCGTTTTTATCAAATTTCTGAACTCGATAGTTTTTTTGTTTTTATTATCCGCGAGAATCGAAATCGTCATCGCAGCTTTTAAAATGCAACATGTGCGATGAAAAAAAAAAAAAAAAAAAAAAACAGGATGTACGACGTGAAAAACTTGCGATAATAAAAGAAAAACTCTTGAATTATTTCATTTTTATCCGCGTTTAAATCCGTCGAGGTATATCTTGCACGTCATTGCTTGCGCGACGTGTCTCGGGCTCGATTGAAAAAGATGATATATTAATTCGAAATGTCGCTCGCTCCGATAAATTAGTAGATCGGAATTATTGAATAGAGATTTAGACGAGAATAATACGCGATATATCTTTGTCGCCGGTACATGTTATTCATTTTTTGTTTTTGTTTTTTTGCATGTCGTCGAGTAAAACTCCGCGACGATCGCTGCTTACATAATAATAATAATAATAATAACAATAATAATAATAATAATAATAATAATAACAATAATAATAATAATAATAATAATAACAATAATAATAATAATAATAATAATAATAATAATATTGATTGGCTCGCGCGTAATCTCTCTCCTCTCTCTCTTTCTATCTATCTATCTTTCTCTCATACACGCGCGACGAGAAAAAATATTCCAGATTTCTGCGCGACGGAAGTCGGGACACCGTGTTTTTCGCATCTCCGGTGCGACGACCTTGCGCGGACGAGAGAATTTTTTTCAAAAACTTCCTTTCCTTCCGAGCAGATGGCGACCGCGTCGCGAGTAATTTATGGAGCAGGTGTGTATTTTGCTAATCCGAGAAATAAATCTTCGGATTGTGGGATTTTTCGTAAATACAACGGATATAAATTTCAGATCGCGATGTACACAACACACGCACGCACACACCTACACACACACACACACACGCACGCACGCGAAGAGACATAATTACACGCACGGAAAACACACACATAAAAGCGCGCACAAAAAACGTGACTCATTGACTACACTGATTTCATAAGTTTTTTCCGCTATTTGTCACTCGTATGTTAATTGCGCATTTTTAATCAGAGAAACGATCTCATGAATACATACGATATTCTTAGTGCAACAGACGTTTATGCTAATCGACGCTCGCTCGTTCACTCGGTTCGCACCTGTGATTCGCGGAATAGACGCAATCGCGCGCGCGCATTTACAAAGACGAAAATAAATGAAGCGCGTTGAAAGTGACGTTACGAAACGCAACGTTTCCGAGCTACAAAAGTTCACGGCGAGGGGAGAAGAAAAAAGGAGAAAAAAAAAACAACAAAGAAAACGGGGAGGCGCGCGCGAACTGGAGGTGACAAAAGTCCTCGCGGATACGGCGCGATCGATCTCCTCTCGAGGCGTATTACGAGCGATGATCGTAGATCGTCCTTACGCGCAAGTTGCGCCGCGAACGAGACGGGTGAGACAAAAGGAGAGAGACACAGAGGCAATAGAAAAAGAGAGAGAGAAGGAGAATCCATAGCGGCAAGCATCTCGGGCCATCGCATGTAATTATCGGTCAGATCGCTATGCGAACGGATGAATTATAACGTCGCGGTCGGTGCGAGATGCTGCGCTCTCTCGCCCGCGGCGTTTTCGCTCGCTCGCTCGCTCGCTTACGGAGGAACTGACACTCGAAGCCGCGCGGAGTTATTAATGTCTCATTTGCATCTGGAATAGATCGCTCCGCTTTATTAGCGGTTCATTCCGCGACTCGGCCGTCACCGGTACGCGAATCGCGCGCGCGATCCGCAACGCAGCCGTGTGATACAAATTGAGACGATTGCGCGAATACGATTTGTCTTTCACTCGCGCGAGACGATATCTTGCGAGACTAATTTTTCCGAGTTATTGATTTTCGAATTGAATCTCATGCGCGAAAGATTTAATGTCTATTAATTTAAACTTAAAAAAAAAAAAAAATTATCGCGCGCTATTCGAGAAAAAGTATTCGATCACCGAGCAGGAATGCTCAATTGTATAGTTCGGGGTAGTAAAGAAGTTTCTTCCGTATCTCTCGAGGGTCGCTTTCACAGTTCGCTCGTCCGACTGCACAAATTGTATCTGAGCTCTTGACTTTGATTCTCTCAATACGAAAGGATTTTTCTTTACCCGTCACGAAACGATACACCGAAGCGGAAGATTTCACGAAAACGCGTCGATACGGCGGCGCGCGTATATACGCGAGAGAGAAGCATCGCGAGAGTCATCATCCCCGGCCCGCTCGCACGGCGATTTATCCACGCCTTCGATGATAAAGCTCGGGCGCGGCTCTCCCGGTCAGGAATAAAACCGCGAATATATCTCAGATAAAGGAGGGAAAATGGTGTTCTCTTCTCCCGCGGGAGAAGAAGCTCCTCATAAATCAGGTGGCTGTCCGTGCTCGGTTACGGGGCGGGAAAGAGGCGCGAGAAAGAGAGTTTTATTAATTAGTCAGACGGATAAAGTCTTGTAACGCGGCGCGTATCGCGGATCTTCATATTCCCGGTGTCTTTTACCCGCGGCATTGTCCGCGCTCGGCGGCGCATCTGTTATATGCGATTACCCGATACGCAACCGGAAATGTAATGCAAACTGTGTTCTCCCCCCTTCCTCCTTCTCCCGCGTGCGTCTCTCGCATTTTGCTTGCCTCGCGCGTACACAAACGGTCCTAATAACCGTTGTAACGGACACACACGCGCGCGATTATCACACCGCGGATCGCGGTGATTTTAACGCGCGCGGTAAAGCGCGAGACTCTCTCCCGCGCGCCCTTCGATCATCTCACGAGAAGTCCCTCCCGATCGAGTCCCCGATATTTTTCGATCGATTATGTTCGACGATATGATTCGTGAAATTTACGAGACGTTTGCATCGACACAAATCGTCTAGACGCTATTGTCATTTTTTCACAAGACAAAATGTCGACGAATTCATCGACTAATGTACGGGACACGCACATTATTTCTTTTTTTTTTTTGTGCCAATGAAAAATGTGGATCGCATTTTTTATCCTCTTTCCGATTAACGGTAAACGTGTATCGGCGGTCGAATCTCGAAACTGAACTTTCTATACCGATAGCAATCGCCATTCTCACGCGCGATGTTTGAGAGAGATTCTTCTCGTTCTGTAACGCCAAATTATTCTAACGGTTTGTTTACGGGCTGCCGAGAGAGAGAGAGAGAGAGAGCCCGAGGGTCTAAAATGCGTGCGATTTAAAACGGATGAATGAACCGTCGCGCGCGTTTTCTCTCACTCGCTCGCTCTCTCGCACACGTACCGAGAAGGAGAAGCGCTGTCAGAGAGAACAAAGAAAAAAAAGAGGAGGGACGCGAGAAGAGGGGGGAGGAGGAAGAGAAAAGAGAATTATTACGACTGCGAATCTCGAAACGAAACTTCTCTCAATCTGCGGGATGACACGTAGAAACACGAGCGATTGACGTTGACTGTATTTACATCACAACATCACGCGAGAGAGAGATTGATTTGTACTAAATTGCTTTTAAATTGACTCTCGGCTCTTTTATGTATATATATACATATATGTACCTTCGCAACACGCCACCAAGGAGACTCGCGTTCAGACACTCCGGTGGCGATAGCCGTCTTTGTACCTCCGCTACCGTAACTTTGTACTTGCTGGTGCTGCTTAGTAACGACAATCGTCCTGGGACCGAACAGAACACGTCCGACGGTTGCGCGTTTCCGGTCAATATGGCCTTCTCGCTCCTGTCCGAAGGTTTCATATCTGCAAAAAGAAACAACGAAAACACGCCTCTTAGAACTTGGCAGGTTATTTGTTTTTCTTTTTCGTTTGCGTTTCAAACGCACACACATATATCGACTGATTTCGCGCGGCTACGAAGTACTTTTCCCTTCTCTCTCCGTTATTAATTAATTATTGATAAGCATCGCGTAACGGCGCGACTTAACTGGTCTAATCCAGTCGAGAGGTCGTTCGGACGAATCGTCGGACGATCCTTTTTACATCGAACGGATATTTAAAATGAGTTTTATCGATCGAATCGATTATATCCCGGGAATGAAAATGAGTTCCCCCCGCGTCGTTCGATGATCGCGCGCGCACGCTTTTCCGCGAAGGATTTTCACGGTAATATAATAATATTTCCGGGCATCGATTTTCATTTTCGCGCCAGAAAACGATAATAATAATCGGCTCCGTTCGGTGGACGGAGGAATGTAATAATCCAGTTAAGACTGCCGTAGTCCATTCACGTGCTAGAAGGTCAAAGTGAGATTTCGCAACTCTCTCGGAGGAGAATATCGAGGGAACCAAAGCTGCCCCGAAATTATGTTGCACACGGCTTGCGTGTTTGTGTGTGTGTGTGTGTGTGTATGCGTGCCTGAATGCGTAACCGTCGATCGGGGCAATATCTCGTGGGCGAAATATTTTAAATTCGTCCGTTACCGTCCTGTTTTAGTTCCTATGCATCGGGATAGCCCCCGCGTTATTGCATCGTTGCCCTGGAATGCTTAATATCGTTGCCTTGGGGCCTCTCGGACAAAGCGCGTTATTACACGGCAAAGAGATGGTCAACTTATAACTCTCGGAACTCTCTTCTTGCGCGATTTTTCCGCGAAGAAACGAGGCACGGATCCAGAAAAATATACACAATTGTGCGAAATTTTATTATCCAGGAGAATCCGGAGCGAGAAAATTTCCTTCGCGCAAATGTGTCGCGCGAGAGAACGCGACGCAAGATAAACGTCCTGGTGACCGCGGACATTTGTTCGAGAACTAATTGGATATAAACAAATCTAGTAAATATTTATCATAAGATTTAAAACAATTAAAATTCAAACTTAAATTAAAATTTAAGTTAAAACATTTAGTAAATATTAATATCATAACAATTCTCAATGTTTTTTTAGTATTGTTGTTAAATATATGTGCTTTTAATTATATTAATTTCTAATTTTCCTAGAAATACAATTTTTGTTGCAATTGCTTTTTTGATCAATGTCCGGCCAGTGGTCATTAATAATCTCTCACCTTATAATTTGGCGCAAAAAAAAACAACCGAGTCCCGCGCCGACGGAATTTATTATTGTCTTAACAGAAACCCGAGTAATATCGAGTTGGTTGCCGCTCGCTTTGATTCATCGCCGGTTCACGTCGATTAAATGCACCGTCATTCCGTTAATGTCAGCGTGTTATGACAGATACACGGGATGGCTCTATAAATCTACCCGATAGATATCTTCGCGGCATTTTTGCCGACGTGTCCTCCTCGCTTTGGCGGCTCCCGCGGCGCGACTACGGACGGATGCTCCGCGCGTTGTTTCGTGTATAGCTCGCGGAGGAGACGCGTTATAAGAGCCACGCATCTCGGTTAAGTATATTCAGACGAAGCGCGGAAGAAGAAATCATCGTCGAGGCGAGGGGGGAAAGAAAATTATAAAACAAGTTGTCTCCTCGCATTACATCTGCCGTGTATCGTATCGAGAACGACGGGTCAAACGGATAATAAATTTTCAGTGTGCACCGATAATAGATCGACTTGTCGTGCCGCTTTTATAAATTACAAAATGTACCGAGGAGAAGAACGGCCGAGAAACACGCCGTGTAACGGTCCGTCCGGCCACCGCTGCGATAGCCGGACAATTTGGTAATGTCGAAATGATGACGGCGCGCGGAGCGGAAAAAGAAGTTACGAGGCTATACAACAAAAAGAAGAAGAGAAACGGATGTCGTGTACACACGATTTCCGTGACTCGCGCGCGCGCGCGCGCGAGGTCTCTCCCTCATTTTTTTCCGGACCCACCTCCCTCCCTTCCCCGATATTAGCGGATGTTAAGTACAGGTTTTACGTATATCGTCCTTTCCCCGCCCCTCCCCCAAACAACGTACACTCCGCGCTTGAAGATCGACAACCTTAATGTTTCTTCCTCATATATATGTGCGAGCTTCGCTTTATTTGTTCTTTTCCGCTTCTCGTCCCCGATCAGTCGCTCTCGGCCATTCTCGCCGAAAGTACATTAGCTTTGAATTTAACGACTGTTCAAATTAACGAATCTATTGCGGAGTGAGGAGAAAAAAACACTATCCTTCGAAGCGCAGGTGAAAAGCATCGGCTTCGTCGTCGAGCGCCGCGTAAACGTTCATTATCGGAGAACATCGTTCCCGAGCGACTACGCCGCGAACAATTTCTATAACAGTCTCCCGACCGACCGCGCGCTGCTATCTCGAGCACTTATCTTCGGCTTCTCCGCCGGCATAACGGTTCGTACATATTACACGTGTAACAAGCGTAAATATTAAATTTTTTCTATATAATGAAGATGTATGCGAGTCCGAGAGCTTTATTTTAGCGGTGAGGTCGACGCGCGTCAATAAGTGCAAAACGTGTAATTATATCAGCGCGAGCCGCGCCGTAATCTTTTCGCTTGCGTGAATTGCGAAATCGTCTCACTTCTCTTTCTCTCCTCTCTCTTTCTCTCTCTCTCTCGGTGAGGGCCGTCTATCCGTCTCCCTATCGCCAGGTTAATTACTCACTCGAGTACATATCCAGTTATTCCAATGGCTCAGTTAAGCGGCTTGACAGTTAGAGCGAAAATTTACGAGCAGATATCGCGCGTAATGACCGTCCGCGCGGTGATTAAATGCAATCAAATTAATTTACACAATTCGTTTACATTTAATCCTGATCGCGGGAATTCGCGCGTTGAAACGGTACGCGACAGCCTCGGCGAGCAGCGTCGAAGAAGAAACGGCGGCGGCCATGATATATGTTCGTTGACGAGCGACCGGTGCCGATGGACGATCAATTAATTTCTGCCTCGAAGTCAATAGCACGGCAAAATGATAAATTGTCGTAATCGTGCGCTTTTCTGCTCGTCTCTCTTTTCGCCGTTAGCTCGCAGCCGACAGGTAGTTCGCCGTAAAAGGCGAAGCCCCCGGTGTCGCGCCGTTCGCCGACTCGCTCTCCGATGTCGGAACGACGTTGCGAACTCTCTTTACTGCCGTCGCTAAAGTGTAATAACATTGTCTGGAGTCAAAGGTGATGACAATAAGCGGTTACTCAGAGCTCTCGTCGACGAGAGCAGTCGTCTCTGCTCTCGCGAACATCGCGCTCGCTCGTTTTTCTATTTTATGACTCGTATATACGCGGAGATCTTGTTGAGAAAGATAAACGCGATGCATGTCCGCGCGCGCAAGGTGAAATCGACGCGGAAACGGTTGGCCGATGAAAAACGCGAATCCGTTCGCGCGATTGTCGATGATCAATCGATTCATCGAGAAGAAGAATAAATAAAACATCGACTTGGAAACACATAATTTTTGAATAATTAGAAAAGAAACTTGTGCCAAAAACAAAAAAAACATAAATAAATAAGAACCGGTTAGACACAATTGAGATCCGCGCGAGAAGTGGAAGAACAACACGTGACTAAAGTCACGTGTCTTTAAAAACCGGATTGAAATGTCACATTATTCGCCAACACACAGAGAAGCGGAACAAAGCATGACCGTTTTACAAACCATATAATACACATATGAGAGGTGTTAGAAATAACGCATGAAAATCAAATTCAAAAAAGACAGGAGGAAAAGTGGAAAAAACAACGCATGACACACTAAAGTCGTGACTTTACTTTTGTCATGTTTTTAAAAACACATGACTAAAGTAAAGTTACGTGACTTTAGTCACGTGTCATCGGGGTGACAGGTTGTGTTCACTGACACAATACGTTAAAATAAAAATAATAAGATAGCGTGCGCGTAGCGCGTGCCTGTCTTGTAATTGAAAAAAAAAGACAAGTAGATTCGCGCAGATTCGCTCGCATCGAAACACAAGAAGACTGATTGGAAAACCGGCACGATTGAGATCTTCTCGTTAAAATCGATCGCTATGATAAGAGAATTATTTGCAAATAAAAAAAGAAAAAGATAAGCGAAGACAAATGTATCAATGCGCGCGCGCGCGCGACGGCGATCTCCTGACAGATACTCCCGAGATTAGGCTCTGCGCCGCTCGATCAAAGAAAGATCTCAGTCGGCGGTTAAGTAACGCGAACTTACAATCCGCGCGTTGCACAACGCGCGCGGTCTCGATCGCCAAGGTATTCCCCTCTGTCATAGAAAGATAGAGAGAGAGAAAAATCCCTGGCGATTCATAGAATGTCTAACGAGATAGATCATAAACAACAATGGCCTAAGAAAAGACGGCGATTCTCTTGCTCGGCTCGAGCACAGAGGCCGAGAGTCGCGATTCTTCTCGCGCGCGATTCGCCGTCTCTCTTATCTTGCCTCGGGATTCCTTTGGCATCATACACACACGTACACACACACACAAGCGAGTTGCAACAAAACGCGTCGATGTGCCGAGGAAGAAATTAATCGCATTTGCGTGGCAAAATTATTACGCACGATACGAGGAAATGTAACGCAACGCGCTCATTTCAAAGCTTCGATACGCTCGTCGTCGTCTTCGACGACAACGACTCGTCGCATTTATTAACGTACGACTGTGTTATAAATCGCGCTGTCGCTTTTTCTCCTCTCCGCGAAACTCGACGGTTTTCGCGGAAGAGCGACAGGTGATATAAAACGTTTTCTCAATGCCGCTTTTTTGACTGTTGTCGTTGACTACGTAGTTTAAGTACCGAGACGGATATCTTAATGTATGGATGTACTATCGTTTACGGACGACGTGGCTGCGCGCGATTTTACTGCGTACAAACACTCCGCCAGTACAAAGTGTACATAATGAGTTGTTATTTTCA